CCAGGAGGGGCACGGATCCAACAAACATGTGGTTGCATTCAGCCCTCCCAAGACCCTGTCCACGTCCTCGGGAGCAACAGAGTCAAACTCCTCCCACACAACTGTCTCAAGACCTGCTTCCGTCCCCTCCCCCTGGGCCAACCAGTCAGAGTCCAAGCCTTCCCGGATCCGCGCGACTTTGTCATGCAGATATTGCGCATGACATAATAAATTTCCTGATGTTTTTTGGCTGTTTTTGGCTGTTTTTGAACATAGGCTTAGCGTGCTTTGGAGGTAGCGCAAAATCCGTACATGAAATGAGCCTGACTTTCATGTGTCCACATTCCAGAAGTAAGAACAGTGCTGTTTTCTACTGGCTTAAGAACTCATGGATGACTGTGAGGAAGAGCCCATGGCCGACCCATTTATGTCACCCAAACTGCTAGTTACAATTTCAATATTCATCAATGCTCCCATTTTGACCTAAAGAGCTTGCAGCAACTAGGGAGGCAGGGGGCTTCTCTGAAATATCAGAGCCATGAGTTCAGCAAAAAAACCCGTATGAATCTTGTCCTCCCCGATTGTTGACTGGAGTGTTACAAAAAGGGAACATTTTCTAGAAGCCATAGGACATATTTACAAACCTGTGTAACTCACTGCTTCCTCTTATTCTTTATCTTGTTTTGAAAAGCAGGACAGAACGAGAGCCGATTCTGCCTTCTCTCCTACCAGTGATCCATTAATCCTCCCTGCTTACGCCACGACTGCCAGAGAGGCCTGTGGAAGGCCTCTGGACAAGAGGGAGCCCGCCTGACCAGGCCTCCAAGGCTTGCTGGAAGGGAACGTGCCTGCAGAGAAGCTGCCATGCCCACGGAGAGCCTTTTCTCTCTACTCCAGCATCTCCCAAGCCCCTTTGAAGGGGACGTGAAGGGCACAAGGGAGGTCAGACAGGCCAGGCAAGAGCACCTCCTTCCCACAGGCACAGGCTCTGCCACTGCCCCAGTTCACACAACCTGAGTGGCTGCATTGCTCAGATCCCAGGCTCAGAGATCGCCCCAGCATGAAACAACTGCAGATTATTAACTTCGTGAATGGCAGGAACATCAAAAGGAACCGTGCAACTTAGCCTACCTTCAGCTCTGACATCTTGCACTAACTTTTCTGCCGTCTCCCCGGTGTAGAATTCTTCGGCCCCGTTTTCTGCCACGGCTTTGAGGGTCTTCTCTAGGGCTGCCCAGTGTAGGTCCTCTCCGTGGCTCAGGACGGCTCCTCGGTCATTGCAAAGCAGTTGGCTGAAAGGGAGGCCAAGAAAGACACCGGTCAGCGGTTCCTGCTCTTGGGGCCTCTTTGTGGAAGCCCCGATTTAGCCTCTACACACAACCAGCTCTGGTTAACGCCCAAGAATGGAGGCGAGTCTCTAATCTGTGGCCAGATACGACTTTCCTTTAAATATAGGGAATCCGCGACTTCATTTCGTGACCATTCAAAATTACAACAGCACTGAAAAAAGTGACCTATGAGCAGTTTTCACACTTAACTCATGGTCATGTGATCAACATTCAGAAGCTTGGCAACTGACTCATATTTGTGATGGTTGGAGTGTCCCGGGGTTTTGTGATCACTTTTTTTGATCTTCTGACAAGCAAAGTCAAAGGGGAAGCCAGATTCACTTAACAACCAAGTTACTAACCTAACAACTGCAGTGATTCCCTTAACAACTGTGGCAAGAAAGGTTGTAAAATGGGGCAAAACTCACTTAACAGCTGTCTCACTTAGCAACAGAAATTTTGGGCTCAATTGTGGTCATAAGTCGAGGACTCCCTGTCCATTTCTCCTGGGACTGCATTTAGGATCCCTCTGGGCGAGTACGGTTGCCATGCCTTTCCAGATATGGCCTTGATGTGTGGGTCTTCTCCATTTGTGTGGGACTAAATTTCTGTGGGTGGGAGTGGCTGAAGCTCCTGAAGGCCAGGGGGTGGGAGGGCAGGTCCCCCCCCTTCCCTGAAAGTGGGGCTGTGGTGGCTACTCCCCTTGGCATGCCATGTAGAAGCATGCCCCCCACCAAAAGGGAAGGAAAAGGCTGAATCTCTTCACACCCACCCACCCCCTACAACTAGACAAGAAGAGGTGCTGTTGGGCCAGGCCTATAGGCAAACAATGATGCTGGGCCTCAATAAAGATAGCTTGGGGGGGGGGAGAGATAAGAAAGACCAGGCGAACTATTTCCCTATCAAGGCTTATCCTTATCCTTCTTGGGGAGCTGGAAGGATAAGGCCAAGGTCCCTCTTTTCCAAAGGGGAGGGGGAGGGCATGCCAGTCAAACAAGGGAGGCCAGGGAGGGATTGGAGAGGATCAGCCTGGGCGCAACCTGGAAACAAAGCAATACTACCTAGATATCAGCAGAGATTTGTGAATGACATGCTTTATCCAACTACCTTCCTGTTTTTACTGAGTAATTTTATGGACAGTGTTTTTGCAAGGCATTGACGATCTGACTGTCTCCCCCCCCCCAACTACTAAGGTCAGATGGCTGGTTCTTATTGATGCTGAGCAGGGTCCTGCCTTATCCTTGGGAGGTGGGGGAGGGGCTACATATGGTGGGTTCCTGTGTTTTATTGCTGTAAGCCGCCCCAGAGTCACTTGTGTGAGATGGACAGCTATATAAATCAAATAAGGGGAATAACAGGAATATTATCACAATGTAACTTATTTGGACACAGCAGTTGATAGTGTATCCCATATTTTAATTAGCAACTTAATTAAACATGGTCAACTGTTGACTTTATTATACTCAGATATCCTTAGTTCCTAATCAAACTGGAGGGTTGTACTAAGAGGTACCACAAGGTTTAGAATAAAAAAGTGGAAGCGATGGATATCAGATTTGCAGATCATATAGCATTCGGTGAGATATAGAATGCTTAAATGACAGGAACAGCATTTAAAAACGCTCAAGGATTAAAGAAGTTGGCTGAAAATAAGAGACTCCGTTCTTCACTTAGAAAACAGAAATCAAAATGTACACGTATAAGACGAGTTGGTATCAAGAGGTTTGAAAAGATTTGAACTTGTGGCTCATCAGAAGCTGAATATGGAGGTTCATACTAGAGAACCTTAAAGATAGTTTCATATTTCTAAGAATCTTCTTCCAAGTAGCAAGCATTATTTTGTGATGGGCAACTATGGCAAAAGGGTTATAGAAAACTTTCTTAGCCTGGCTATGTTCAGCATTGCTGTAAAGCAGGGGTCCTCAACCTTGGTAACTTTAAGACTTGTGGACTTCAATTCTGGGAGTTGAAGTCCACAAGTCTTAAAGTTGCCAAGGTTGAGGACCCCTGCTGTAAAGGTTCCAAACAGGATACTGGCCTGCCATTGGCCAATCCCACATTTAAAAGTTTGATCTCACCATAAGGACGAGTTCTTCAAAGGCAGCTCCAGGAATTTCAGAAACTGGCTCAAAACCTCTGGTATCCGGATTCCAAGGCCAAGCATCTCAATGGTGGGTTCAAAAAGGTCCTTCCATGGCAATCTGCCGTAGCGTAGGTGAGCTTCTTCATAACCACGAAGTTCCCCAGGAACAGCAATCCATTGAGACCCTGTCGAGGGAAGGCATTATGGATAATGCAGAGTCTTCTCAAATTACTTTTCTAACCCTCACCCTAATTTCACTAATAGATTACTTGGGTTAGTTCCAGAACTTCCTTGTGACTTGTAAAAACATACCAAAATTATTAGTAGAAACATCTTGAGTGTTTACCTCAGTGTTTCTCAACCCTAGCAACCTTGATAAGGTGTGTGAACTTCATCTCCCAGAATTCCCCAACCAGCCAGCCAGCCACACATCTTAAAACCAGTAAGGTTGAAAAACACTGACTTACCTGATTCTAGCAAAACCCTTTCAGATGCAAGTATGGTTGATGTTTTTAAGGGTCATAAGTCAGAAGAGAATGGCGGTTGATATGAATGCCCACCTGTATGTTTGCTTAAGGAATCCTCTTTGGGGTTAAAGAGGCCAAGTTCCTCCACATTTTAAGTCTTTAAGGTATTTAAAGTCACTGGAATGTCTGAAATGGTATACGATCTCCTGTTTGATCATGGGGTTGAACTATATAGAAGATTTCCAAGGTCCCTTCCAGCTTTATTCTGATTGATTGACATGGTGACATTTTATCAGTCTTAGGGCATCTAAGTGGCAAAACCCTAAGCCATTAATCATGGGTTGCAAAACTCAACTTGATTCACACACTGGACTGAAGACACTTATAATGGTTTGGGGGGGGGGGGTGAGGCCAGCCAATGTGTTGATGCCATCTTACACAACCTGCCTCTATGGTGAAACCACCTCTGGGGGAGGGGTGGCTCTTATCCCAAGACAGCTTCATGTTTCTTCCAGTGGAAATAAGGTCATCTCTTGGTCAAGGTAACACCTGCCAGGCTGATTCTCCCAAATAGATCAAAGAACAGGGTCCCAAGTCCCCCAAGCATGCATTTCCTCCCCAGCCCCACTGATACAAACCATGGTATTATTGAATTGTAGAGTTACCTGGAAGCAAAGTGTCTGTACACTTTTTCAGCAAACCTTCAGTGATGTTTTGGGGAGCCCTTTCACGAGCATTGAGCACCTCAATTTTTCCTGCAGTCCAAAGAACACATTGAAAAACCCACACAGCTTCTGTGGAGGTGATAAATACCATCTAGCTTTGTCCTGACAAAGTTTACCTAGATTCCACTTTCAAATCTCTTATTTCACTCACAAACCCCGTGATCAATCGACATTTAAAGCTATAGTTTGTTGGTAGCTTACACTTTCTTAATTTTCTTAGGGTCTTAAAAAACATGATTCAAAGTAGTCAAAAGTGACCAAGCCTCCTTTTCTGAGGAGCAGTGCCTGCTGCTGCACTAATGGTCCCACCGGAGGCCACTTCTTCTTGAGTTGGAGGAGCCTACCTGTGGGTGCATCGTAGATGGTGAAAATAACGCCTCCACCCAGGCCCATGCTCTGCGGATTCAGGACTGACGTGCAGATCAAGGCTGCAATAGCAGCATCCACCGCGGAGCCGCCACGTTTCAAGATGTCCCTGTGGGGCATGAAGACGACAGAGCGTGAAACATCAAAAACCCGGCAGCAGAAGAGCTTCTCCGGGGAAGAGAAGAGCTTCTCCGGGGAAATCAGGCACAACGGGGTCACCGGCCTCTGCCTGTTGTGTTGGATCACAACAGCTGCCTGAAAGGGTCAATGGTGCAGGCAGAGGCTAGTGACCAGTGGCTGCTGATTTAACTGTAGTGGGGAGCAGGACTTCACCTGAAGACTACGGACCATCTCTGAGGATGCAGATGAATCCACAAAGTACATGCAGTTCTCCCTTCCAACTCTTGTGAGCTTGTCCTCACTGGTTAAGCAAACAGAAGAGCTCAAAGGAGACTTGCAACACAATTCATCAGCAGGAATGGGCAGGGAAGAGTAGAGAATGTCTAGACAGCCAGGGATTCTGAGGAATTGCACACTCAGCTATTGTGGAAAAAAGACGGCTCATCAACAGTTGCTGTTACAAGACACATGTCCTGAGAGTTGCTGATAATTGCTGATTGTGAGTGAGTGAATGCCTGCTTGTTCTTGAGTAAGCAGAGTTGCAGCCTAGGAATATAAGGCAACCAGATTTTGGAGAGGGAATTCACTGGGCAAACAAACGGTACAGAGGCAGCTAATACAATGTTTGTTCAGCCGCCCTGAGTCCGCAAGGAGAAGGGCGGGGTAAAAATTCAATAAATAAATAAATAAATAAATAAATTTGTTTGTACATTTGTATTCCACCTTTGTTATTTTTATAGCTCACTAAAGTGGAGAACATACCTAATACACCTCCCCCCTTCTAGTTCCCACAACAACAACAACAACAACCCCCCATGTTGGGCTGAAAGAGAGTGACTGGCCCAAAGTTGGAACAAAGTTTGTGAAGACAGCGTGTTCAACGACTCTACTACATTTTCCCTGTGTGTCTTTCTACTAGTGCTGCCTAAAAAACAGAAGAGGAACCGACATAATTCAGAAGTCTGAACTGCAAAGTCTATGGCGTGTTTGCTCTCCTCTCTCAAAACAATTTAACTTATATTTGCAGCAAGGACAAATTAGCACTAGAGGAAAGAAAGTCCAAAGATTGGAACACTGAATGGGCACACTTCAGCTCCTGAGGAAAAGGAAAGATTCACTGGACCGAAAGGGCCCTGAAGCTGAAAGAAGCAACGCTCCACAAGGAAGAAACCAAACGGAGAAGGAGGAAGTTCAGGGAAATGGGAATGACAACTGGGAGCAAAAGGCACAGAGGCCTTCTGCGTCTCTAGAAATCAGAAACAACTTTTAGGGACACACCAAGGAGGAAGAAAAGGAGATCCTGCAGTACCTGAAGGTGGACCCTGAAGGCGGAGGAAACCCATTACAGAAATAACATTCAAACATTCAATCCTTTTAAGTTAATGAAATGGCTTGAAAGTAAGAGAATGTTTGAAAGAGTTATTTGTTAAAAGAAACCAAGCATACAGGTCCTGTCCTCTGGAAATGATGATGATAATGATAATAATGATAGATAGATAGATAGATAGATAGATAGATAGATAGATAGATAGATAGATAGATAGATAGATAGATAGATAGATAGATAGATAGATNGGGAGAGGGAGGGGGAGAGGGAGAGGGAGAGGGGAAGAGAGAGTGTCATCTGCATAGGTCCTTACGGGATGCTCCTGAATTGCTCCCATGACCTCCAAAGGCACATCATCAAATCCTGCCAATGGGATCCTGCTCCTCCTCGTACGAGGAGCAGTGAAGGTCTTCTAAAACATCTTTAGAGCTGTTACAAAAGATGCTGCCCAGGCAAACTTGACAGTACTTTGCCACAATTGAGGTCTCAATTGAATTTTCTTCAATCTCAGCCATGACTTTTTCTGCATCAAGACGAACAGAGGCCAGGCAGGGAGGAGGTGTAGCACACTTGTAGTCCTGCATCCACTTTTGGTCACCACATTATAAAAAAAATGGTGAGACTCTGGAAAGAGCGCAGAGAAGAGCAACAAAGACAATTAGGGGGTGGATAAAACAATTGAATGATAGGAATTGGGTTTGTCTAGTTTAATGAAAAGAAGAAATAGGGCGACATGATAGCAGTATTCCAGTATTTGAGGGGCTTCCACAAAGAAGAGGGGGGTCAAATTATTCTCCAAAGCACCAGAGGGCAGGACAAGAAACAATGGTTGGAAACTGACCAAAGAGAGAAGCAACCTGGAATTAAGGAAAAACTTCCTAACCAGTGAGGACAATTAATCAGGGGAACTGCTTGCCTTCAGAAACTGTAGAGGCTCCATCACTGGAGGTTTTTAAGAAGAGACTGGACAGCCACTTGTCTCAAATTGCACAGGGTGTCCTGCTTGAGCAGGGGTCCCTTCCAGCTCTATTCCGAATTTAATCTTCTTCCTTTGCTGGTCGGGCAACCAGAGGAGCTGAACAGGGAGCCTCACTCACTGGCCCAGCAGGGATGAGCTAGAGCAGCTCCGGGGCTTTCTGGGGTCTCTGGTCGACCTTCCAACGGCCACGTTCTCCCCGTCTCCTCCGGGCGAGGAAACCGGGAGGCGGCAGCATGCAGCCCCGCAGTTCCCTCTCGGTTGGGGGCACCGAGCTCACCCGTCTCCTTCCCCGACCTTCTAGACTGCAGGGTAGCTGTCAAAGAGCCCCCGAGGGGGCAGCCCTCCTTCAAACCCCCAAACCTCCGCAGGGAAGGGGGGGGCAGCAGTCCGTTCGGCCCGGGAAGGGAAAGTGCCTCTGGTTCTGGTCCGGCCGATGTCGGACTCAGCTGTCTGCCCCACCTGTCCCCCCCCCACTACATCCCAGGGCAGATTCCCCCGAGTCACTTGCCCTCTTCTCTTCTGCCTGGAAGAGGCCCGGGCTCCGAGGCTTTGGGCCCACCCGGCCCTTCGTCCCCCAGGCAGAGGGAGGGCAGCGGCCCCAGCAGCGCTTGGCAGGGCCTGGCTGGAGGGGAGGGGGCTCTAGTTCATTGGACGCCCTCCCCAGGCAAAGCGGCAAGGCAAGAGCAAACCGGCTGCAGCGGCTGAGGCTCCCGGCCCCTCCTTGGAAGCCAACTGCGCCCCCCCTTTAGCCTTACTCCAAAAAGGAAGAAGGGGGGAGGCTGATGTGCTCCGAAGAAGGCGCCTCCCACGCCCTCTAAAAGCCCTGGAAGCCCTTTTGTGAAAAATACAAGGGTCTGTTCGGAAGCCGTCCTCTCGCCCAGGAAGAGGGCAAATGGGGCGGGGGAGGCAAGAAGGCAGAGACCCTCTTTTCCTTCCCACAAACCAGTCAGGAAGCAGGGCGGCAGCTCGATGACCCTGTAGCCAAGATGGGGAGCTGCCTCCAGTGACACTGGTCCACCTACCCCCAATATTTGAATTGTGGGGAAGGGTCTTCTTGTATTTTCTGAGAAGAATGGGAGGGAGCTGGTAGCCCCTTTTAAGGCTAACAAATGCAATTGTGAGGCTCAGCTGCAGCTCACAGCAGCCGCTGCCTCGTAATCAAAGGTCTGGGAGGGGCTGCCAGCTCTTTCTGATGGGGCCCCCTCCTGAGGGAGAAGAAGAGGGGAGGCTGCTTGGGGGCAAAGGGTGGCACGAAGGGCAGCGCTTGCTTGGGGGAGACTCTGCTCACATCTCCATTTCTCTGGTTGCCCTGTGTCTCTCTCCTTCTCTCCCTCCCCCTGCCCCTCCCCATCTCCATCCTGCTCCTCGCTTGGCTTTTTCAACCGGTGAGGTGGAGGGCAAAGGGCTGGGGGGGGGGTGTCTCCGCACGTGAGAGATCCTAGTGGATCTCTGCAGCTGGACCCTCAGCTAGAATGGCAACCCTGTGGTTGATTGAAGGAGGGCAGGGAATCTGGGCACTGCGCAGGATCTTTGCTTGTGGGTTCACCACTTTCTCAACCCCTCCATTGGGTGAGGAAGTGTCTTAAATGCAGAATGTTTCCATTCAGGCAAATCTGGTTGTCCAACACTAAGGACTTACTTAAGAAAGAGAGACTACAATCTCAGAAAAGCTGAAGTATGGTGTGTAGACTTCCGTCATGAGCTGAACATGCCCACAGCAAAGTCCGAAGACCCGTTTTTCAGAACCTCTTTGGGCAAAGAGAGGAGAGGAAATCGCCCACAGACGGATGCGCCTTGTGAGGAGACCTCAGGGCAGGGGTCTCTCCCGGGGGTTTCAGTGCCAGCAGATGAAGCAATCAGCCATCCAGCTCATGGTAACGGGGGGGGGGGGGGGGGGGGGGGGGAGACTTTTAAAGGGCACTTTCAGAAATGGCTTATCTAACCATCTTAAAAGTACTAGAGATTTTTGAAATGACAACTCTGGTGAGTCTATCTTCATTTTTGAATAGAAAAATGGGAAAATTAGAAAATATAGCAAAAATTACCTATAAATTTAAGAACTTGAAAAAATTGAAATAAATGACAAAAAGCTAAATAAAATTTGGAACTAAGAAAATTATAAATAAATTAAGGGTCCAGACAAGAATTGCACTTTTACCATAAGATTTTAGAAGTAACTATATAAAATAAACAGCTTTGTGTGGCAACCTAACTTATTTTGTTTAGTCATATTAGAGATCTGACAACTTAAATTGGACACTTGAAGGATTAAAGATTCCAGGGAAAAAGGAAAAAAAAGAACTTGGCCTTTGCCTTAGGATTCGAGTTTGCAAAATGATACAAATACTATAATGTTTCTCATCAAATTTGCATGACACTAAACTGGCAGGAATAGCCAACACCCCAGAAGACAAGCTCAGGATCCAAAAAGATCTTGACAAACTTGAACAATGGGGCCTGTCCAACAAAATGAGTTTCATTTCCTGCCTACATTTAGGCAGGAAAAATTAAAGATATAAATACAGATTAGGTGAGACCTGGCTAAAAAACAGTAACTGTGAGAGGGACCTTGGAGTCCTAGTGGACAAATCACTTGACTATGAGCCAGCAGCAGCA